AAGACCTGCAGGGTGGGAGATGCTCTGATCCAGTCATCTCACATCACAGTTTGGCCCTTGTCAAAGTCACTCAGATCCTTACACTTGCCCATTTTTCTGCCTCCAACACATTAACTTTGGGGACCGAATGTTCACTTGCTGCCTAATAAACCCCACACACTGACAAGTGCCACTGTAACAAGATAATCAGTGTTATTCACTTCAGTGGTCATAATGTTATGGCTGATCTGTGTATGTCTCCCCCAGGAGATGGTAGAGAGTGAAAAAGAGTGAAAGTTGCACTTTCATTCAACACATGGGCAGAAACAAACAGCCAGGCTAGCTGTTGTCCCCTGTTTCCAGTCTTTGTGCTAAGATACTTTTACAACACCATGAGGCTTGTACTGATCTTCTCATTTAGATCTAGGCAAAAAAAAAAAAAAATCCCCAAAATGCCAAGCAGATTCACACCTCTGGCTTCTCAGTGGAGGACAACCTGAGGACGTGGCTCAGACAGTAGTAAAAGAACAAGTTAGCTTAGCTTTAGCTAAAGGATGTGGTATTGTAGGACTTTGAGGATTGGACTTATCTGCTTTGAGATATACATGGTTTTGCTCCACCAGCTTTAATAAAACACACAGCTTGATTTCTATGGAAGCCTGAAAAGCCTCAGAGGTTTCTACATTGATCATCGTCTTACTTTGGATGGCAACAGAATCAACAAAGTAGCACTGGCTATGTAAGCCAAGAAAGGGGAAAGTTGGGGGTATTGCATTTTTCCCATGAATGTATTAAGGGAGGACCAGATGCAGCATTGCTAGAAGGCGCCTATTCATGCCTATGAAAGCCACTCACTGGCACATACTCTGAAAAAATTGTCATGCTTCCAGATTCCAGCCAAATTACCAGAATGTTCCACATGCTTCCACATTTTTGGGCCCGGTGACTTCCGGTTAGCTCCACGCACACATGAATGGGATAAAATAAAAATATCCTATGGCTAAACTAGACTTTCCAAATGGTATTGCACCCAATAAATACAATTCTGATAATAAAAACAGTCACTTCACAGCCTTATGATACTCAAAAAAATGTATTCACCATTTTACAGCTGTTCTTTTTCCACTTAATCTCTATGAGAATAATGCTTTTTGGGCCAGTGTGCATCATGTGTGGAAGCTATAGTAATGTGGTTTGGCTGCTTTGACAGGTTTGCTTCACAGCCTAGTGCTGTTTTGGGGGCTTTTGACCTAATTTAAACCACTCACAAAATCACTCAAATTCCTTAAAGAGATAATGTGGAGGTATAGGCACAACTTAAAAATTGACCCAATACTTACACAGTCTGTGTGTGTGTGTGTGGGTGGGTGGGTGTGTGTGCACCTCTGTAGCAGGGGATGAAGGTTTTGGCATCTCTCAGGTTGCTACTGTAGTGAAAACAGACTCCATTGGGCAGCTTGTTGTTCATGCCGTCCTTCCTTGAGTAGAAGACATTCTTCCAACGGTGAGCACACGCCTAGATACATACACAGCATGCAACACACAAACAATGTGACATAAACTCATTACTGACAATAACCTTGTGCTGCTGCCTTTAAGTGACTGATGGCAGTCAGTTCAGACTTCAGTGTTGAAAGTGTTAAGTTAATGGTCTGACAGTGTCAAACTGCTGTTATGACATTTATATGAGAGAGAGCAAGAGTGTTACCAGGACATGTCCGTTGTCTCCAGGTTGTCTGGACAGACTGACTCCCAGCCACTGGTGATCACTCTCAGCTTCACATGTTTTTCCACAAGTCTGTACATCTGCGCACACACAGACACACATATTAAATGTTTACACTGCTTCACACTTGCAGCCTTCACAGGTAATTCAGTGGTGTTTTACTGTTAAAGGCCATGACTGACCAGCTGATTGTGTTAACACGGTGAACCCCATGGAAATGTCTCATGAGGAAAGCAAGACTTTTGCATCCAGGTTAAGAAAATACCAACATGTCATTCCTGCCTGAGTAATAGATCTATGATCCATAACAGACACTAAATGAAAGGTTACTGCTGCAACATCAGCATCAGCGTCATTTTATCCTCCATCTCCACAATTGCAAGGTAAGCAGTAGAATTACAAACAACAAGGTTTTACACCTGGTATGTGCAGATATTTGACCGAGGCTGACCCAGGATCAACCTTTCTGCCAGACATCCCTGAACTTTGAGCCTCTGCAGCAGCAATCCAGTGGAGGTGATGGAGGCTGTATTCTATGACATAACACTGATATCAGTCTGAACACAGCTTTGCTGGACTTTTGGCACCGAGCAAAAAAAAAAAGGTAATTTGTTTCAGTGGACAACGCATGAGCTGTTTGGTGCACAGAGCTCTGATTCTCTCTCATGTCTTTAGAACTTTCATGACCTGGAGGAAAGACTTAATAATAGACAAACACAGAGAGACAGAAACACACCAGCAGGCATGAGGTGACACTGGCGAGACTCAGCAGTGATGCTGCAGTAGTAAACAGCTCCTGGAGACTGAAGCAAAGGACTGGTGGACAAGTTTGCTACTGGAGCTCCAACCACCAACCTGAGAGTGACGGGGGAGGAGGGGGTAGAGAGACAGGGAGAGGCAGTTAGGATCTGTCTTCCTGTCTGTTCAGTGTCTGAATGGCATGTGTGTGTACAGCATCAAAGAGCTTCTGTCACTGACAAGAACTGGATAATTAGCATGCACACGCACACACACACTCTCTTTCTGTTACGATGAATTTAAATTTACTAATCTGTACAGCTCTATGAGGGCAGCAGTTATTTATTGTTAAGGACAAAGTTCATGACTTAGGGGACTCATCAGCAGTTTTATGAACCCCCATAATGCTTTGAAGTGTAATATCCAGTATGTTATTTTCTAGGGTGGTGACAGGAGCCAAGCTCTCTTCATCACTTGTCGCTACCCATCAGTGGCAAGATCACAACTAGATCTCCTGATGTAGAATATAACACACATAAACTCATGCATAATTTCAAAATTCCTACAAGATGACAAATAAAACATGAATTTATTATTTATTATTTACAGCATCCTCTGTCAGTCCACCAATAATAGATGATCAACTGATGATCAGAGGATCAACAAGAGATAGAGCTCAGATACTGTAAATAGTTTCAAAGGTAGATCAATACATTGCTCAATAGCAGATCACAGGTAGATCAAAATATTATTAATTTCCAGCCAATAGTGGATTAAGAGACGGGCTAGAGAATAAATAGAGGGTCAATAGTATCCTAACAGATAATCAATTGAGGATCAATAACAGATCAATAGATGACTAGCAAGAGATCATTTGAGGATCAATAGAGAATCAATAGCAGGTTAACAGACAATCAATCACAGATCAATATCAGATCATCAGTATAGATACAGACCAGCGGTGACCTCTGTGACGATGCAGCAAAACAGAATATCCAAACATGGAGGAAGGAGGACCACTGAACTCCAGACTGTGGTCCTGATCCAGACTGTACCCTACTGCAGGACAGACCAGGCCCAGGACCAGGATCAGACTACAGCATGCCCACACGCTAATGGCTGAGGGCCACATGATGGAGGACAAGCTGCAAGACACCAGAAAGACACCAATCAATAATCAATACACACTATCAGAACAAACATTAAATCCAGAAAAGCAACACAAAAGTTACATATAACTTTAGTGGAAATCCAAAAGTATCCAAATATGTCAAATAAATCAAAATGAATTTTGGGAAATTCATCTAAAATAACAGGCAATGTTTTGAATATTCTTATTAGGTGCAAACATAAAAAAAACAAGTTCATTATTGTGCTCAGTGTAGACATCATATATGGTATGCTTAAGTCATGTTTAGTAGATTAGTCGATGGACATAACTATTTTGATAATTGGGTTTTTCTTTTAAGCAAATATGCCAAATAGCAGTTTATAAATGGACTTGTGTATTACAGTTTATAAACGCTTCATGGTGCATAAACAGAAAGTGGAACTTTAGTTAAGCATACCTGGTTTTATAGTTTTATAGTCTCCAGTTTCACCAGACTGAAGATTTTAAACTTTGGCCTGAAATTAGGCCCAATCTGTAAGAAAACGAATTGACCTCCATTACAATTTGCCCAGGACCCCCAAATTTCTTTCTCTGGCCCTGTCAAAGTTAGCTAATGGAACGGGATGTCTGTATGAAATTGAGCATTTTAATATCTGATTCTTTGACTCAAATAAATGATTTAATGAGGGTTTCATCACTAAAGAGAGGCTGGGCTACACTTAATCAGTTAATTTTGATTGATCAGTTAATGGCTCTGTCTTTAAAATGTCTACAGTGACTCTTTATTAAATCTAAGACAAAAAATCCCCTATTGAAGAATAAGAAGAATAAAATGTTCCAGTGTTGTTAAGCTTGACAACTTTGCTTAATATGTCACTAACATATTAACCAACTAATGGTCATCGTTTCGGCTCTAGCTAATGAGGATTTTACTGTACCGCCAGGGCAGCAGATATCCCGGTTCTGACTGTGGCTCCAGTGGGTACCAGGCAGATGTTGAACCAGTAGCGGGCAGGCAGAATAAAAAAAAAAAGCCGCAGTGTGTGTTCCCAAACTCTCCGGTATATCCTCCTTACTGCCGGTCTGACTTGGTACTGAGTCCGCCTGTTGCTCCTTAAAGGACCGTTAACCGTCTTGTGCGTGAGAGCTGGCTCCCAGAAGCGCGCGACGCTCCGGGCTTCTTTGACAGAAGTGATGAAACTGAGGAAGAGAAGAGAAACTCAGTAAAAACTAAAGTCTGTCCGTTTCAGAAGTACTCAGTGAAACGGAGAACCCAGAGCCTGCCTCCCCGTGTGTCTCTATGTCTCTGTGTGTGTGTGTGTGTGTGTGTGTGTGTGTGT